CGCCCCGGCGGGGTGGCCGCTGCCCACCCTGTACTGCACCCCTGCCCCGGCGAGTGCCCTGCCCTCGCGAGCCACTGCCCTGCGAGTGCAGCTGCTTTTCGCCCTGCGGCAGCGGGGGCTGCACGTGCTGGAGGCCGGGCTGGCAGCCGAGCTGCGCGATGCGCTGGCGGCCCTGCGCGATGAGTGGCCCCGGCTGGCCCAGGAGCTGGCGCTGGGCAGGCTGAGCCCCCAGCCCGGGCTGCCTGAGGAGGTGCGGAGCCAGCTGCAGGCACTGCTGACCCCCGACCCTGCCCGGGCGGCTGAGCTCCGCGCTGAGTGTGCCCGTGGCTTCGAGGGCATCGTGCGGCGCCTGTGGCCGCAGCTGGAGGTGGTGGTGGTGGGGTCAGCACATAGCACAGAGCGACTCTACTGCGATGCCCTCCTCCAGGCTGACTGCCAGGGGCTGCCCATCTACTGCCCCTTCTACCAGGCAGTGGGAGGTGAGTGTCCCCCACACCAGGGTGTCCCCACAGTCTGCCCTGGGTGCATGCAGGGAACCGCTGCTGTATGGCAGCACAGATCCCTCTGCCCCAGCAGGCACCAGTGCATCTCTGTGCTACATCCCCTTCCTGCTCCCCAAAACCAGCACTGTGCTGGCACCAGCAAAAAATTCCCCCTTGGACTGGGTAATGCTGTGTGGGCAAGGACAGAGGGTCTGAGGGCTCATGCTGACACACTGACTCTGCCCAGCCCTGCTTGGTGTGAACCTGTGGCCAGAAGAGCCAGTGCCCCAATTCCTGCTTTGCCCTGGCTGGGCTTTCTTCGAGTTCCTGCCCTGCCCTGCAGAGGAGGAGCCACGGACGATGCTGTTGGATGAGCTCTGGGAGGGACGAGAGTATGGGCTGGTTGTGACAGCCCAGCCAGGAGAGTACAGGTGCTTCCTCCCTGCTGCGTGGTCCTGGGTGACCACTCGCTCCAGCCCCACACACCCAGCTCTCCCTCACACTCCTCTGCCCACGCAGGTGCTGTGCTGGGGAGGTGCTGAGGGTGGCTGGCTTCCACAAGCAGTGTCCTGTGGTGGAACCTGTGCGGAGGTGAGGATACCCCAAACCCTGCTCCTCACCTCGGGGAGCTGTGGGGGGGCCCTGTAGCAGGCAGGGTCTGGGCAGGAGGGTGGCAGTGACTCACCCCAGCCCCATGCACCACAGGGAGAGCCAGACACTGAGTGTGCGGGGTGAGAGCATACCTGAGGAGCGGTTCTGCCAGACCCTGTCCCGCGCCTTGGGCATGTGGCCGGGTGCTCGCCTGATTGACTATGTCTGTGTGGAGAGTAGCCTGCTGGGTGAGTCCCCCTGAGCTGCTCGATGCCCCCTGAAAGCATGACTGGTACTGCCTGGGGCTCTGCTGACCCTCCAAGGCCCAGCTGGGCTGGGGGCTGCAGGCAGCTCTAAACGTGCTCATGGTGCTGCTCCAGGTGACTCTTCGGGGCCCTGCGCCCCCCACTACGAGGTGTTCGTGGAGCTGCAGGGCCTGCGGGACCTGTCGGAGGGGCAGCGCTACAAGGTGAGGGGAACGTGGGCTCTGCTCTGGGGTGGCCTGGCAGCCTCTGGGGGGGGGTAGCTGAGGGGCACCGGCACAATGGTGTGGGACCAGCACAGGCAGCTGCCCTCTCTTTGCAGCTGGACCAGTGTCTCCAAGAGGATTTCCTTGTCTACAAGTCCTTCCGCTTCAAGGGCAGCATTGGGCCCCTGCGCCTGCACCTGGTGAGGGCTGGAGCCTTCACCCGGCTGCGGGAGGCACTGGGCTCCCCTGTGCCCATGCCCAGGGTCCTGCGGGAGGAGCGGCTGCTGCAGCTCATTCAGGGCTCTGTCATCTCCTAGGGCAACCCAGGGGTCCCGCAGCCCACCCACCCTGGGGTTCACTTGGTGTGCACTCTCCAGGAGGGAGTGGGGCCATGTCCCTGGTGCGGGAGGTGTGGGGACAAGGGTGCCCAGCTCCAGGGGTTTGACTGAATGGAGTGGATGGAGACAGTGAGCTTGACCAAGCCTCTGCTCCCTGCTCAGTGCTGCTGTGGGGATGGAGTGGACACTTGGGAGTGTCATGGGGCAGCGGGGTTCTGCAGCCACTGGATATGCTCACTCAGTGCCTTGGAGTGCCTGCAGCCACAGTGAAATGGGTGCCTGTGCCTTTCCTGAGGGACACCTCAGCTGTCACAGCCCATGTCCGAGGCAGAGGGCACAACATAAACCTCTGCAGGAGCAGGAGGAGCAGCAGAGCCTTGGCTCATCACCACACTGAGCGCTGGGGCCCTGTGGCGTTTTGTCCCCTGGCAGGGACACTGGGCAAGGCACAGGTGGCTGGTGGTGGCAGGTGCCATGGAGCAGCCCCAGCCAGGCTCTAGTGCACATCCACTGGTTTAGGAAAGAATAAGCTCCAACGAGGAGCTTTTAATGTTTTAAAAACAGAAGCAAAGTAAAGGAGGATTATCTCTTAAAAAATAAATAAAGGGCTGTGCTCTGGGATTGATTTTTTATACTATTATTTTTAATCCTCATTAAAGAGATTGCTCGAGCAATCTGACTGCTCTGGGGACTGAGGAGTCACTGCCATTCTTGGGGGTCCTGGGGAAGGAGCAGCCATGAATATTTAACCAGCTCAGCGGCTGGCTGGGCTCTGGAGGCACCGGTTTCTTTGTGCCTTTGAGGCACACGTGTATCATCGGGAGGGACTGGTCCTTTCCCCACCCGTTTGTTATGGGTTATTTTAAGGGCTGACGAGGGCATGTGGGGCACCTGCTGTGCTGCAGCTGCTGCCGGGCGACTGCTGGGCCGCGGGCAGGGGGTGATGTCTTGGACAAGGTTTACACAAAGCAAAGCATCCCCCGGCACAGCCAAGACCCCCGCCAGGGATAACGGGGTTGGGGCCCCTTACACCCTCCCTGCTGGAAAAAATTGGAGCAAAATTTCTTCTGCAAGTCGAGGAGAAGCATTGCCTTGGGCTGGGGGTGGCTCCCTGCAGCAAAAGCCTGGAGACCCCTACCTGGGAGAGCCGTGTGGGGCCAGGGCTGCACTGGCTGGCTCTGCTTGCGCTGCCCTGCCTGGACACCGGCGCTAGTGGGGGTGCAGGCTGGTGGGGGGGACCGCGCTGGGCGGGGCCAGGCTGTAGGGTGCCCACCTGGGTGTGGGTGCCAGGCTGCAGGGTGCA